TCCAATTACCGGACTCGAAAGAGCCCAGTATTGTTATTTATTGTCACTACCTCCCTATGTCAGGATTGGGTAATTTACGCGCCTGCTGCCTTCCTTGGATGTGGTAGCCATCTCTCAGGCTCTCTATCCGGAATCGAATTCTAATTCTCCGTCACCCGTTACCACCATGGTAGGCCTCTATCCTACCATCGAAAGTTGATAGGGCAGAAATTTGAATGGAACATCGCCGGCTCAAAGGCCATGCGATTCGACAAGTCACCATGATTCGCCGCAACAACGGGCAAGCCCGGATCGGCCTTTTATCCAATAAATACATCCCTTCCAGAAGTCGGGATATGCTGCACGTATTAGCTTTAGAATGACCACGGTTATCCGAGTGGTAAGGAGACCACCAAATAAATGATAACTGATTTAATGAGCCATTCGCAGTTTTTTTTTTTTTTTTTTTTCCACACACACACACTGCCGCTTCTATTCTGGGGGGCTCCGGTCCTGTTGCTTATCACCAGCAAGCAAAAAGAGTCACAGTGAATTAGAAAGGGTGGTAGAAAAGCAAAGAAGGAAAGGCTTAACCTGCCTGGCTCGAGACACCAACAGCAGGGGGCTGCGACAGGGATGGCCGCCCACAATACAGGAGGGACGTCGGGGTGGGGCATGAGGGGCGGGAAACATCCAGACGGTACCCAGACCCCCCCATAGCCCGTCTAGACCTTCCACTCCTCTGTGGGGGGGCATTCCTGTCCAGTCAACTAGCCTCACAACCAAACCGTTCCATTCAATCACTATACCCAGTTTACTCCACCTATACCTCGTGTTCCCTATCCTTCTTAATCACACTGGTTCCCCTATCGTCGTATCTGTGTACTACACTTGTTAACACTCAAAAACCAGGACTGAGAAAGACCCCTGTTGACTGCGTACTGCTGTTTTAATACCAATCCTCCTCATTACAGCAACTACTCCTCCCCTCCCCCTCCCTCCCCTCACCGATTACCCTACTATACCCCAGGAAAAAAAAAAAAAAAACCCCAACAACAACAACAACAACAACACACAAAAACACTCAGGCTCAAGCCATCTACTATACCCTAGTCCTAAGCAGACCCGTGACTGCACAGGGCCGGGCCATATTTCCATAGCCCCGGATTCCCATCCTGCTGTACCAAGCCTGGATACTTACCCCAGACGGCCCAGAACTTCGTCAGACCGTGATCTTTGGCTCTCCTACTCCGCAGAGCCTCAGTGGACATGGCCGTGCGCAGGCTCTCCAGGACCCGTGTGCGTAAAGCTTGCAGGGTGATCACCCTGCCCTGTCGACACCATTCATTTCGAAGGGTCCAGATGGCCCAGAGAACAGCCGCTCGTATCACCTCCGAGGCATAGAGCTCCCCCTTGTCCTTCCTGTCCACCTTGATCAGGGCGCCCAGTAAAATGTGTGCCACATCGTCCTCCATGACACAGAAAGGAGAGTACTTTCCTACTTCTGCGGCCCACCACATCCAAAACTGTTGGAGAGTCGGACAGGCGACGAAGAGATGAGGGATGGTTTCCACCTGGCCGCATCCCGCAGTACAACGCTCGTCCCGATAATTGCTTTCATTGGCCTGCCATTGCGCTGTGGGGACCGCCAGGTGGTAGATGAGCCACAACAGACCTGCCTGCTTCTGATTCGACAAAGATTGCAGCACTGCACACTGCTCTCTCCATTCCCTCTGTCGCCACCGGTACAGGTAGATCACGGGAAGCCACTCTCGTTTGGCCCACCGGTCCACCTGTTCTTCACGCAGATCCAATGGGGGGAGGAGGGAGCGGTACATGATCCTGGTAGTCACTTGAGGGAGCCGGACTTTTTGTTTATTATAATTCTGCTTAGGCCAGCTCCATTCTTGCGGATCAATCGCCAGCTCTCGCCTTGTGCTGCAAATCCGAAAGGGTCGGGCACTTCCCAGCCCCACCTCTTTTTTCTTCTCTGCGCATACCGCGACCGTCTCAATTTCGTCAGTCCTCCACCGCGTCTCCGCACCAGGTCCGACTCTCATTGGGGCTCCCAGACCCTCATACCCAGTCACCACGTTCCATGCTCGCGTCACCGCCTCCTCACCTTGTACCTGTGTGATCTGGTATACCTGCAGGGGGTGTGTCTCTCCCTTGCGTCTCACCCATTCTCCCACCACTCTATGGTCCACCCTCAGTGTATCCACCAATTGCGTGGGAATAGCCCGCTGAAGGGCAAATAGGTGTTGCCGCCTCCGGAACTTGTGGGGGAGCCGCACTGCCATGTCAGCCTCTTTCCTCCAGTCCCTCTCTTCCTCGTCCCACAGGTGCCCGATCTTAAAGACCCCACATTCCGCCCAATGCTTCCCAAAAGCTCCTGGCTTCCCCTGCCATGGAAACAGATCACCCTCATCGTCACGTATGCTAGGGTTGTCAAAGAGGAGTTGATTATAGACATCGTCAGCGGTGACCGGTAACTCCTGCTGTAATTGGAGCTTTTTCCACAACGTCAGCGCAGCGGACCAAACCTGGTTCCTCTTGACGTGGCTAATGAGGCCTGGGCTGGCCAGCGCCACTAGGACCATTTTCTCTGTCATGCCAAGCGCCAGGGCCAAATGCTGAGTGGTAAGGCTCTCCCACGCTGTGCCCGCCGTCCCCAATAAAAACCACAGCAGGTTGTGCAGTTCAAGCGCCGTCATCTGCAATTCTGGGTCCAAGATCCCCAGCCCCACTTGACTCCTGGGCTGAGTGAGCTTCGACCAAGCCACCCTGGGGATTACCGACTCCGCTTCCGTATCTCCCGCCCACAGGTATCTATGCACCGCTGCCCGCAACTGTTGGAAAACCCGCCTCTTCGGCATGTGGATGGCCCCAGCATACCACATCGTGGACAGCATCAAATTTTTAAGGACGAGGGCCTTGCCCAACACTCCCATATGCGTCCTCTTCGCCCATCGCCCCAGCCTCAGAATTACTGTCGCTGCCAATCCTTCCATTTCACAGTGCAAACTGTTCACACTCAGACGTGCATGGCTTAGTCTTTGAGACAAGCATATGACTACTGGCAGGATCAACCAGGTAAACGGTGTGACGAGCAGCCTCAAGGAGCGATGGCCGAGGCGCACGTAGGCACGTCACACCGGAAAGCCTACCAAAAGAACGTCGAACAATCGTGGAACGTGCAATCAGCTGCCGAGACGCCGCAAAGTCCGGCTGTTTGAATTGCAGGTGAACTTCCCTCCATAGGCCATCTCCAACGGCGAGGCACCGCACAATCCAACACAGCCCTCCGCACCCGCCCAAGAGATTGGCTGCGAACAGCACCCGCCCACACCACACCTAGAGATCGCAAGTTAACCACACTACCCGAACAACGGCGCGCGCGAAGGAACCACCGACAGCTTCGGCCCACAGCCGGATGCCACC